GCGCCGTGTGCGTGCGCGAGGACGCCGCCGGCCTCGTTCCAACCGATCCGGATGGAACGGGGCGAGGAACCCACCCCTGGAAACAGGGTAATATTTTAGGACAGCCTTCCCAGCTTGAGGTCCTCAGTAGTGTTGGGAATACAACTTCCAGAATTCCTAAGCAGCATGGTTATGGGATAGGCATCTTGAGATCATACCGGTAGTTCCAGTTTGGCTGGAGAGCATTGTGCAGGTAGCCCTCGACTTACAACCAGTTGCAACTGCACTGAAAATAGTAACTTAGAACTGATCCTCACACTTACAACTATTACAACATCCCCCTCAGTCATCCAATCAAAATTTAGGCATTGGCAACTGGCATGTATTTATCCCGGTTGCAACATCCCAGGGTCGGATCCTCACCATTTGTGAGAGGTCAGGAGGGGCATGCATAAGCATACAATCATGCCTGGCATCCCTGTCCTACTATCCTCATTTATTTGTACCCATTTCCTGTGTTCTTATTCATGTTTATTCTTATTCCTGTTATCTTGTACATGAGCGACAAACTAAATAAATAAATTTGTGACCTTCCCAGCTGACTTCTGACAAGCAAAGTTATTCACTTCACAACCGCAATAATTCTCTTAACAGTGGACAAAAACAGGGTGTAATATCAGGCACAATTCATGTAATTATCATTTAATTATGGGTCAGCAATGAAAATTCTGGTGTTGATTGTGGTTGTAAGTCAAGGACTACCTGTACAATGTGATAGAGACAATTATAGGAGCAAAATAAGAAAAGAAAGCAGACTAGAGACTGCACCACTTTTGGATTTTCTGCTTTCAGAAATTCAAAATAAAGTATCGATTGATTGCAATTAGCCCAAACCATCATTTAGTTTTGGATTTACTAAGATATACTAGTATTGTAGCTATTTAAAAATATATATATAGAAAACTTCCTGTTGCTGAAGAAAGTTAAAATAAAGTAAAAACTTGCATTTTATCCTCCCCCCCTCTTCCCCCATAATTGCTTTCCATAGATTGCAAGTCTAAGAGTAAGGAATGTTTGTATTGGTTTGTAAGCTATCTGAGAATGTTTTGGCTGCAGAAAAGAATAGAAAATCTTGTAAAAATAATGATTAATAAAGGATTAGGAGCAATGAAAATTGTTACAGAAAACATAGGTCCTAAGGATATTCAATTGGCCACAATCCCCTACACCAAAAACCCACTTATTTTAATTGTACTTTTTCATAATTCACTTGCCAAAGGAATTTGTAAATGAAATAATATTCGTAACAGCCTTATCTTAGTTTTTCAGTCTCTTAAGATCTTACCGTTCTCTTCATCATCTTTTCATACTCAAGGGCCACCCTTTCTTCATTTCTGAATTCCTGCCGCTGCTCAAAATACTCCAGATGTTTGACTTCTCGCTCAAAGTAATGAAGAACACTGGAACGCTGCCATTTCCAATGTATGTTTAATTATGATGAGCATGGTTTGTCCATTCATAAAAACATGCTTATCTTTATACAAGAACTGAAGAAACCTGAATACTATCTGGCCTGCATTTCACAGTGGAAGAATAGGATATAAATGTGAGAAATAAAAATCAATGAACATTTTTTGTTAGACTTGGAGAATAGGCAAACCAGTGCCGTCCAGATGTTTTCAACAACAATCTTGCCAGTAAACTTGTTAAAGGATGCTTAAATCCAGAATATCTGGAGAGCACTAATTGCCAAATCCAAGAAGTGTAATTGTTCACCAGGATAGAAACTGGGAGATGGTGAGTTCTAATCCTGTGTGACTTTGGGCCAATCACTGTCTCTCAGGCCACTCCACAGAGTTGCTATTTTGGAGAAAATGGGAGGAGGGAAGATTATTAGGTATGATCACTGCCTTGAGTTATTTATGAAAATAATAAAGGCAGGGTATAAATAAAAATATTAAAATCTAGTCGCTGCAAATGTGATCATTTTACTGATCATTTGAAGCTCTCCAAATGCTGTTCAAGGAACTTTCTTACTGTATAGTTGACTGATACTATGGTTTATATGTAATGAAATTCCTCATCTTTTAAAGATGAAGATTTAAAATAGAAATTCTCTATTTTGTAACTTTTAATACCACAAAAATGTATGAAATGAGTTACAAACCTCATTGCTGGAAGGGTGAATTAAAGACCACGAAATTTCTAAAATATGCAAGGTGCCAAAATCATCAGCCACTGCTAGGAAGTGTTGCTTTGCTGTGGGGGA